CAAGTATGCAGATGAGGACTTTTCTCTGAGTTTCTGTATTAATGGTAATGTATCAGCTGTTCATACCATAATACCTTTTCCAGGTGGGCACCAGTGACAGCTCTTCTGATCAGTTTACGTCAATATTGCACAATTATACAAAATGTAAAGCCCACCTCCTGCTAACTTAGAATGAGAAACAATTAGACCCTTTCTTGGGTTTTCATTGCTTGCTCAAAAAAAAAAAAAAAAAAGCACAGCAAGGTCATGGAGTGGCCTAGCCAGTCTCCACTCTGTATTCCTATAGAAAATGTATGGAGGGAGCTGAAACTTCTCATTGCCAAGCAACAGCCTTAAGGATTTAGAGAAGATCTGTAAAGAGTGGACCAAAATCCCTCCTGAGATGTGTGCAAACCTGGTAACCAACTACAAGAAATGTCTCACACCTCAGTACTTGGTGGAGAAACCCTTGTTGGTAAGCACAGTCATGCTTTGGAATCAAATACTTATTTTACTCACTGAACTGCAACTTAAATTTATAACATTTGTATCATGCGGTTTTTTCTGGATTTTTGATTGATGTTGGGTCTCTATTGTTTAAAATACACCTATGATAAAACTTAGACCTTTCATTTCTTTGCAAGTGGGCAACCTTACAAAATCTGCAGGGGATAAAACAATTATTTTCCTCACTGTAGGTACCAATGCCTGTCCACACTTTTGGTTGCAGTCAAGGGTAAAGTGTAACGATGGGCAAAATAAAAAAAGACATATTAGATGCGGTCTGTCACTAGCATTACCACAGGAAGTTTATAACCTGTTGGTCCTAGTAGAGCCATTATTTTTCCACTTCCTATAATGGTGACAGTGCTAGTAAGCAGTAGATCTAGGCAAAACATAAAAAAATAAGTTACCAAAAAGGTAAATCACTTACCTGTGTCTCTGCCGCTCACTCCCGTCCGAAGATTCCCAAGTGGCCGCAAATAATTTTTGACTTTGTTACTTTAAGAAAAAGACAATCAAATGAAAGCCGTTTTTTTTTTAGCAATTACAGCAAGTTTTTTTTGGAAAGGATTAAACGATATAAATAAAAGCTGTCCTTTGTAACCGCCCCTCCAGTGAAATAAGATTTGTCCCAACCCCTGTAATTGAAACTTTTGCTGGACAACTTGTTACAGTATGACCAGACTGCATCCTATATATTTATTTTGCCTTTAATTACACTTTGGCTCTCATGTATAAATCTTCTGCACAGCCCAGCACTGGGGAAAAAAAATGCCATTTACATGACATTACCGCCACTAGATAGAGCTGAGAAGCATAGGAATTTCCTATGCTCCTCGGCTCCATAATGCCGGGTGAATGGCATTCGCCCAGCAGATGATGTATGCATCAGGCCGTTCGCGAAAGGCACAATTCTCTGTTCTGACTGGAATGGATCAAGCTTTGATTCCACATGCTGTCCTCCCTGAAGGCCAAAACCTCATCTGGAGGATTCTTCTCATTCGCAGCAAAACCATGTTAGGCTGCAAATGTGTTTTTTAGCTGAGCTGCATGTTGCCAGACTATAAGGCCTTGTTCACACCAAATGCAGAGCAGATCTGCATGGGTTTCCGCACACACAGTGCAGTGGGTTGTGCCGCATTTGATGCATTCCAGGCCATTTTTGGTACAAAAAAAAAAAAATAATTTAATTTTTTTAGTTTAGAATGGACTTTCAGGGCGTTTGCATGCGTTCCAGAGCAGGTAAAATAGGGCTTGCTGCAGTTTGTTTTTTTTTTTACCTGCTCTGGAACGCATGCAAACGCCCTGAAAGTCCATTCTAAACTAAAAAAATTAAATTATTTTTTTTTTTTTGTACCAAAAATGGCCTGGAATGCATCAAATGCGGCACAACCCACTGCACTGTGTGTGCGGAAACCCATGCAGATCTGCTCTGCATTTGGTGTGAACAAGGCCTAAGAGGCCGTGTATATGGAGAATTTCTAACGGGAGGCCCACATTCAGAGTTCCTGACAGTATGGAAGACACAAAAAGGAACAATCTTTACTGGAATAGTGATTAGTAAGAGCTGCATACATATTTTTTATTATGAACCTTATATAAACAACAAATATTTGCTCCTTAAATTAATTTTTTTGTTCAAGTTTTTGGACTAATTCCCACACAAATACATATTAGTCTATAACTGGAATGCTGTTGTCAGTTGCCATTTTAACCGTTCAATAACAGGCTTAACGTAAGACTTGTAACTCGAACATGCCCCTTCTGAGGTAATGGGTAGTGGCACTGTTTGTAAGGCTGTCCAATTTCTATACTAAAAAGGCATTTTTATGGTTTGTACCTTAAACAAAACGTGATATTTTTATATAGATATTGTGCAATAATGCTAGAGTAGAATGTGTGGTTTTGCAGATGCTTTGTATAGCAAAATATACCTTTGTAAAGTTAATATATTGTATTGTTTCAGATTAGTTTTAAATTATATAAAGATATTTTGACAGTCTTTTGAGGAATAATATTCACAAATACTGTGTATATGAAATAAAATCAGCTTAGCTAACATGCATTTAGATTTTTATGTAAATACCAATTTGTTAAAAGCTCTTTGATCAATCGGTGAAAAACCATTAAAAACCATATAGCAATTTCTGATGTGTTGTTTTATTAAAGGTTTGTTGTATGTATCATTTTAAGTTTATATTACCACTAACTAGACTTTGCAGACAAACATGTGATAAATGACAGTGTACACAGAGCATTATGTGTGCCAAGCTCTAAGTAAGCTCAGGACTTACAAAGGGCAATGCACCCCCCATACTATTCAGCTGGGAACAAGAACATAAACCATCTACATGCTATACATTCTTAGAAGCAGGATATCAGCCTTAAGGCTGGGTTCACACCTAGGCGTATCGAATATGCACGTTTGTCACGCGTTTCGTGACGCACATTTTTACCACGATTTGCGGTAAAAAAAACCCACAACAACCGCGCATTTCCGAGGGCTACTTGGCAGTATCCCAGTGGAAACACGCAACAAAAAACACCCCAAAGAAGCACCTGTACTTCTTTGGGCGTAGGGCGTTTTGTAGCGCGTTCGTACGGCCTGTAATACGCCCCAGGTGTGAACCATACCCAGAGGAAATAATGGGATTTCAGTGATTGAGTATTTTGCAGAGCGTTCGAACGTGCTACATAACGCCTAGGTGTGAACCGGGCCTTGGGAAGGTGGTATAAAACTTCAGCAATCCGACACCAATATTCCCAAAGATACCCGACACATGTTGGCGATACAATGCTCCATTTTGGCAAATGTCCCAAATTGAAAATGTTTGCCGAAGTGCCACAAAAATGTGCAGCATCTACAATAACAGACGATCTCTTCTCATTCCTGCTGCATCCTACTAAAGTCATGCAGGCAATCTGTTGTAGAACATCTGCATCCTCTGCTGAGCCTGTAGCTCCAGCATGTAAATATTGCATGTGGACAAATTTTCATCTGCACACGATTAGATAATTGAAGTGAATATTCACATATTATTCTCAACTTCCTTAGTTGAATCAGCCCAGAAATCTTTATGAATTGAGAATATTCTCACTAGAGCAGTTAACACCAGACTCAGATACTACATGCAGGATGCCTTTTCTTGTACTACCACCCTGTAACAACTCTTAATTGAATATATTGCCTGTATCAGTTGTGCATTGTGCCATTCCTCAATGGTGGAACAAATACATTTCTGGAGAAGAAAATAAAAATAAATCCCATGGTAAGTTTGAGCGGTACAAAAAAATAAAAAGGTTTGTAAAGCGCTATAAAATCCTTTTGTTCGAGTCAATTGAAGGACCCAGAAAAAGCTTTCACTTTTGGTTTGACTGCTGCCTACAAGTGACTGTAGGCAAGCACAGGATAACCCCCTACTACCACAAGCATGATCATAAATATGAAACCTGCGTCCCTCAAACTTCAAGAAAATAATTTTTAATTTAGTACAAAAATCCCATTTCCTTTTTCATCCATTTAAGTACACAGGAAGTCCATCACCTTTGGGACATCCAAAAGCAGCTCAACTGAGGGGTGGGCAACAGAGCAAACTAACAAATCCAAAGAGAAACCACCACAAAAGTGGGGACTACCTGCAGCTCAAAGCCACCCAAAAGGACTTCATGCCCAAGTATGGCACCAAATGAGGTCCGAACTTTCACCTGGTAGAACTTGAGAACAGAAGACCCAGTGGCAACCTTGAAAATGGAGTAGCGTGCTCCTTGACAGGAAAGCATGAAACCTGATCCTTGAGCCTATAAGCTTTGGATGATGCTTTGCCAGAGCCACCTGGAGATGGTGAACTGAGAAGCCTCGGTGCCTTTACAGGGTCTATTCAGGATTACAAACAGGTAATTATACTTCCTAATGAAGTAGTTGCAAATAGATGTACTCACGGCTCGAACCACATCCAATGGAGGGAAACACTAACCTTTAGGCTCATGGGCTGAGTGATGGTTCAACAAATCCAGAGTGATAGTGGCAAAAGAAGCTAGCTGCCCCAAGCCAGGACATTCAGGAATTCTGAGGAAAATTGTAGAAGTGATGGCAACCTTGGGAGTAGGGTCAGTGATATTTCTGAGAGGTTTAAAGGGCGGCTTCTACAGAATCAACAGAACTAAGCTGAGGTCCCACAGAGTCACCAGAGTGCATTCGTGGGGTGCACAGTGACTTTCACTCCCCAGTGAAGGCCTTTTTGCAGAAAGACCAGCAGTCTTAGGAAAAGAACGGACAAAGCTGAAATCTGACCCTTAATGATACTGGAGGCTAAATCCTGGTCTAGGCAAGACTGGAGGAAAAGATGAGATGCATCCCACAACGTATTACCTAGGATAGTACTTCACACTTCGTACCAAGCGACATTAGCCTTCTAGGTACGATGGAAGACCTTGAGGGAGGTAGGGATTGCAGCATTTGCAAGGCCTCTGTCCAGTCTGCTTGGCTGAATCCTGTCACAGTAAGATTCCGCCAACGACTAGGTCCCTTCAGCCAAAAAGCTTGCCAGGAATGTTCCACACCTTGTCAGGCTGACATCCATCGTAAACACCTTCCAGACCAGGGGAAGGTGTTTCCCCAATTCCAGCGCCAGGTTGGAGATCCACCACGCCAGGGCAAGTCTGGTCTTGCTGGTCAGGCGAATAGGGAGGTCCAGGGACTGAACCTGTTTGTCCCACACAGCCAGAATGTAGAGCTCCACCACCCTGGAGTAAAACAGAGTATATAGAACTGCCATGAAGGAGACCATTAAGCCCAGGAACATCATGTAAAAGCAGTCAGGTGACTTCTGGAACACAAAAAAGATCCAATCTACTCTCCCATGCTCAGACCGAGATCTTTTGATGAGATTTGTATCTGCTAGGTGAGATACAAGTCTATTCACAGCACAGCAATACGTTGGCTTGGTGAAGTGTTGCACAGTAGCCCTAAGCATATCACCCTTTCTAGTTATAGGCCACACTTCATGTTTATCCAAATATACATAAAATATATACAAAAGCATATCCTGTACATGTTGAAGTAAACCACTTTGCAAATGGTAAATATATTAAGAAATCGTTACCAAGCATAAGCAATAAAAATTTAAAGCAGACATAAAATCTGAGAGCCAAAATATTAACACCACCATAACATTTAAAACGAACAGCAGCACAAAAATAGAGGGAAATGTATAAAAACTGGAGCAGTTGTCTATGGCAACCAATCATCTTCTCTCTTCAGTTAAGCTATGCAAATAAAGGAAGCCGATTGGTTGCCATGCACAGCTGCATGGCATAAGAGATAAATAAATGTATCTCACTGTATCGTGATAACTGCATGTGGTAAATATTAGTATTATGTGCTTTTTTTTTTTGTACAAAACATGACAAAAATGTAGATTTCCCTCCAGATGAAAATACAGGCCGAGCTGTCTAAAAGAAAAAAAAACAAAAAAACGCTTGTATGATCAGAAAATTTTGCGCACACAAGTGAAGCAGATCCATACAGCTTACAATGTTAAATGCAAGTCTATGGCAAGGAACTCCAAAACTGATTTTAAAATGCGAGTGGAATGCACCTGGTGATTGAGCGACTGCAACAATAGAAAAAAAATTAAAATAAAACAATGTGAATATTAAGTGACCATCGAAAGCACCACCAGCAGGACTAGAATTTAGTCAGAGCTCCTGTAACTCACTTGTGCTGGACAGCTTGGCCTGCATTGTAAACATTGAAGGGGGGGAATGCATGAGCAATACCAAAAATATAAGTCATTAAAGCTGCCCACACACCTATAGATGATCTGCAGATTTTCTATGGTCAGATGGAAACAAAGTGCAACAGATTCCTCCATCTACGCTAAACTATGGGGATGGAGGGAGGGATCTCCCACTGGGCTAAGCGTCAGAATCTTGCTAGTCGGCCCCGCAGGCACCCAAAACATCTGAACAACGCCTGCATCCAGATTGTTCAGGTATTTTGACAGCCAGCGGGGCCGACTAGCAAGATACGGAAGCTCGGCCCAGTGGGAGATTCCTACATCCACACAGTTTAGCGTAGATGAATGAATCTGACCAAAGCAAAATCTGCAGATAATCTATGGTCTGCAGACCATAGGTGTATGGCCAGCTTAACACTGGCTACAGCCAAGATGGACAAATGGTACTAGCCTAGGACAGTGTTGTGTGTATGAGCATTGTTTTAATTGCAGGTTAAGTGTTAGGACAAAAAAACAAACAGACGTAAGGTCTCTTAAATGTCATTTTGTCTAACGGGACAATATTTGTGCTTATCTATAGTAGAAGAAAAAAAAATGCCAACTGCAAAATCCATGTTAAAAAGGTCATCCTATACAAGTAGGATCACAGATAAAAGCTACATCTGGCAGTTTTACAGATAACAAAAGACATCTTATGCATGAAGAAATAGTGTTCCAGCTGTACAGTTACATTTCAAAAACATAATCTGGGAACATAAAAAAAAAAAAAAAAAAAAAAAAGGGAAAAACGGGCTCTCATAAAACTGGCTCTCTGCAACATTGCCCCCAGAAAGTCACACATTGAGGCCTAGTACATACTAACTTCAGGTTGTACAAGAACAGCGTTTACAGGAAGCTTTACAAACCATTTGTAAAGCTTTCAGCCAGCTTCAAGCAACCTTCACCTCCAGTAGGATTGAGTATGATTCAACTGAAGGAAAACAGATTGAAGCCCCACAACAGCTTGTTTAAAGAACTCCAGGCAGTAAAAACCAAACTTTTGCAGCGGAGATACCCCAGACTGCAAGGGTTAATTGCTCATTTTGGTCTAGGGTGTATTTAAAAAAAAACAGATACTTAGCTGAAGCCCAGTCCCTCCTTGCTGCTAGACCAATGCCCGCATCTTCTCCCTCTGGCTCAGATGGTCTACTAAGCCTTGCTGATGCCGAAGGACATACCACAGCAGAAAGGGAGAAAGCCGAGCGCTCACTGCCGCAGGAAAAGTACCTTTTATTTTAAACCCTAGACCAAAACGAGCACTTAACCCTTGCAGTATGAGGGTAGCCCCACTGCAAGGGCTAGGTTTTAACTGCCTGGAGTTGTTATTCAAAGTAAGTCAGTATTGCTCTAAAGATATACATTTAACATCCTCATACTGGAGCCGAGGTTTGCATTAAAATGCTTCAAAGAAAGCCGCCTAAAACTAGCTAATAGTTCTGCAAACGAATTGTAAATGTGTGCTGAGCACACTGCTCTTTCTGCAATTTACATACAGAGGCTTCCATATTTTTAGTTACTGACCAGAAACAAGTATTTAGATCAAGAGTTCAGACTCTCCTCTGACTTGACTCCCCGTTGGCTTGCCACTCAGAAAGGAATGGAACCAGAGACAGAAGTGTCTAGCATTTTCAGACAGAGGTCAGCAATGGCAGCCTCCTGATTTCTCGGCAGAAGTTTTCCTTACAGTGTATGTGTTCTATACAAAGAAAACAAGACATTTTGCAGAAAGGTTAAACCGCATCAAGAGCTTAAACAATTTGCCATTGCTTCACTATTATTTAGCAATACATATGTACAGGGGTTATGTCTGAACCAATCAAATATAACTGCACCATAAGCACTGTGTTATAATGGAGAATGCAGAGCAATGCAAACTGCAGGATGAGAGTTCTGAGAGAATGCTGCACAGTGCTACAAAAAGCTAGATCATAGTCTGGAGAACAGAAGCGTTTACTACAAGCCAATGACCACATCAGAAAATGTAATGACCGATATCCATAGGACACTGGCTCCTTGTGTAGAATAGAACGGTCACTATCAAAGCTGGACCTCCTCATGGTTCCTTTGTCAAGAGACAGTAGAATATATTGTACAAATGGACCCATGTGGAATGGAAGTGATCGTGTGTGAAGACAAACTGAACATTTACATATTTACAAAACGTATATATTTAAATACAAAATGCAGCAACAAATATTTACAACAAACCTCAAAAAGGCCGAATTCATCCTGACAAAAAAATAATAATAATAATATTGCAATTAGATCAACTTGTGGCCGTCACTTCATCTCAGTGGCCGTTATCTACCACAGCCAACAAAGGCCTCATTGTATCTTGTCAGAGATTTTCTGCTCAGTGATTTGCGGTACTTGAAAATGGGAGAGCTTAAAAATTCAGTATCTGTAAAGGGGTCGCCTCGTCTGAGTTTCCTGAAAACAAAAAAGAAAAAACATAAGTCTCAAAAAGTCTTTGACGTAAAATTATATTAGAAGTTTGAAATGATTTACAGCATTTCAAATACTGATAAAAATCACTTGCGATAGATGCTGCGCCTTGATATTTAAAAGGTTTAGTTTCCTGCAGAATCAGCTGGCCCCCTGACCACTGGCCCTGACATCCTGTTAAAGCAGAGCTCGACAAATCCCAGGCGCCAGGTCGCCACTAGAAAAGTGTGTCCTGGGCTTTTATCAGCCCGTTCACTGCACCTCCATTTCTCACACCGTCACAGGGGACACAGATCGCTGTAGCCGATTACTGCCGACAGGTCTGTGAATCTGCCTTCCCCTGAGACGCCCCAGGGTCCCTCCCTCTGCTGATTGACAGCAAGTAGTGGGCGGGTGCAATAGCCAGCTATTGCAATTTAAAATAGCCGACAGCAGACTAGCTATTGCTCCCAACCACTGCCCGCTGTGTTTTCATACAGCTGCCCCAGCAAGCAGCTGTTATTCCCCAGCTAAAGCTACTGAACTAAAAAGGTGACACAAAGGGTCTTATAGTCCCTTAATGTCACCTTGAGAACCAGTCATCCCCAATGAGTGAAAATAAATAAAGTACCCCATCCCCCGCAAAAAAAAAAAAAAAAGCGGTCTCCTTACTTTTTTAGCTGGCTCCTGGATTCAAAGAAAAATTGTTAAGCTCTTTGTTAAAGGGTTGCTCCTTTCCCTTGCAGGATCCTATGGAGCAACCCATTTATGCTAGTAAGCTGTGCGAGTCTCCATAAACACAGCCACAGCAAGGAAAGCCACTTCCCCATCTCCAAGCTAGTAGATGGAAAGCTGCTTCAGACTATGCTGTCCCTTGTGATCTTGTTCTGGACAGGAAGTTCAGGGAAGTTGAGCCGAGAGAGTTGGAACCAGTTCAGAAACATGACTAAGTGCTTGGGCAAGAATTGAAAGAACTTTGCTGGCCAATAAATAGTTTGATCTGGATTCACACTTTAATGAACTCACCTAAAAATCGGAAATGAATCTGGTTTGGAGTTTACAGATCAGCAATGGCTTATAATCAATTTTAGCCTCTACCAGTGTTCTAGATGTAGAAATCATTGGCACACTTTTCAAAAGACTGCTTTTCGGTGGTATCTTACCCCATATAAAATGTCTACGTCTTCCTGCGACCAGTCACCACAATGCTGGCGGAGGTGTGGGCAAACTTTGATCCTGAATATCATAAGTTTCTGGTTCTGAAGACATTTTCCTAAATATGCCTATTTTATTACTATCACGGGTAACCGATGAGCCACCTATACAATAGTAGCAACAGGTCCTCTTTTCAGCAGACCGAGAAGGTTAGGCTACCCGATCAACTGACCGTACGGCTGTCCATTCACTGGAAAGCCACCTAGATCATTTTTTCAGTGAAATAGATAATGGGAATGACTGCAAGAAAAACCTAGAGCCATTCAAAGTGTTTACTGATCAAATCTTACAAATGACAATGTTTTACTCACTTGCTGAGATTTGGCTCTGCATAATTCACTGTTACTGTACACCTCCTTTTCCTCATGCAGGTTCCGGAACGCTTGCGGTCATCGTCATAAAATGGAAAAGAATGTTTCTTTGTTTCCTTGCTTCCTGAGCACAAAGACAAATTAGTGACATCAGAAAGGCTGATCCGCTGAGCTGGAAATGCTCCTTCAGGTTCATCTGAAAACATACATCAGCAAGTAAGAAACACATACTGCAGTTTGGAGTTAGTTGTGTAAAAGGGTAGAAAAGAAAAAAAGAATGTAATCACTAAGCAGTGAAGTATAAATGCAGCAAGTACATATACATGCACCTATCCCACTATGCGAAGGGCTGAGGAATTGCACTTTACAGCAACTCCAGCGCAGAGTTGAGTGAAGATTTTCAACTCCTTTAGTAAATCAGCCTCAATATACATCTTTGAAAGGTTACTGACCAACAGAAACCGATATTAATTCTAGTGTTTTATGGAAAATAAAATGAGTAATAAAAAGACATCCGTATACTTTTGTCTGCAGGGAAAGGAAGATTCTCTTGTTCCGCATGGAAGTCTATGCTTTGTTCCACATTCACGTCCGTATAAGCACATTTTAATAAGGAATTCTCTTTGTTTCTGTCTTCTGGCTCTGCGGTTTCATTGAATCTTGTTTGAAGATTCTCTACTTGACCATTTGTACGAACTCTTCGATTTTTCTTTGCGTTACCAACATCTATAAAAGATGTAATGCAAGCACTGAAGGTTGTTTTTCGGAGCAAATATAGATCACAAAAGCAGTCCACACACATTCCTAATGTGGACGACCCGAACCTACAATGCAAGGTCCACCTATACTGTCCAGTCCCCCTTCACACAGAAATCACCCGATCATAAATGGTTTAGAAATATACCTGGAAACAAAGTAGGAGGGCATGTGAAATCTCATGAGGTGACACTCCAGTTCATTGTGAAAGAGTGTCTTCTTGCGAGATTTCTGAGCTGCCTGGTTTTCCGAGGATCTCGCAAGAAGAAATGTGACCTTGGCACGCCAGGCGAAGGAAGAAGCCAATAGTCGGGTGCTGAAATGACTCCACTCCAGCAGAGGTCATGTTCAGTATACCGTGGAACAGGAACATACCAAGTGATCCACCCAAGTTAGACAGTGCTGACAAAGTACTAGGGGGCTATAACAAGACTCCACCTACAACCCTACAACACTAGAGGGCGTTAAACAACAACGGTCACTCTGCTAATGAGATGCTGCATGGTTTAGGCCCTTGGTTCTCAACTGGTGGGTCAAGACCCAAAAATGAGTCGCGACCACGTGTTCAGTGGGTAGCCGCATGCCTTCCACTTTCCTAGGCGAGAGGCTCCTCTGCCTCCCCCTAGCACAGCACTGTCAGTTCTCGCGCCAAGCAGCCATTCAAAATATGCTGCCTGGTGCTGAATGTCAGCTTGAGGTGGGATGGGGCAAGGGCCGCAAGGGAGCTCCATCCATACATGTATTGCTTACAGCTCCCTCATGTGTCCTGTAGCGGTGCCGGGACTGGAGTGACCTCACATTCTAGCTGCCGGCACCTCTACAGGGTGTGCAAGGGAGCTGTGCAAGCAATACACATATGGATGGAGCTCCAGCACAGCAGCCCACACTGGACCCCAGGCTGAGGATCCTCTCAAGTTCTCGTAAGGTAGGAAGACTGGGTGGATCTTGAAAACTTTTTTTTAAATTAAATATTTTTGGGAGTGTGGATTTGTGTGAGAATGTCTGTGAGGTTGTGTATGTACAGTATGTTTGAGGGCCTGTTCACACATGTACACTGCATTAATCGCACAGTCCCATGCAATTACTGTACCATGCAATTGCACCTACCGTGTGTTCTGGTGTGGGAGATGCGTTGGGTTGCCATTCATTTAACTGGTACCCAAAAACACACCTCCCACACAGCTCGTACTGGAACACGCGGTACCCTAATTCCATGCATTCCATTGCAGTGCGATATGGGTCGCGACTTAATGGCAAAGGATAAATGTGGGTCCTGAGGTTACACAGGTTGAGAACCACTGCTTCAGACAAAGGTTAACTCCAATCGGAACATTTCAACAGCTTAAGTGCTATGACATTAGGACTTTCACATTCTGGCATACAAAATTTGTTCTGTTAAGAAGAAACCCCAACAAACCTTGTTGAAACCGATCACTGCTTCTATTTTCTTTCTTCTCAGCGGTCTGCTGCAGCTTGCTTCTTTTAGATCTGGGCCTTAATGGAAGTGAAGCTGTAGTTTTCTCATTGCTTTGATTCCTTGACTTTTCCCTAGAAGGCAAATATAAACTGTCGTCTGATTTCTCCTCTTCACTAGTGCTACTGCTTTTATGAAGATTTTCTTCCTCTGGTTCTTCTTTCTCTTCCTGATCTTGGCTTTGCTTGCTTTGACGGAAAGGAGTAACATGTATGCTCTCTTCAAAGACAAAATCATATGCATCTCCTGAATTTAAAGATGTGTTAATTTTGTCCTTCGAGGCTCCAGACTTGCTTGCACCCCTTTCTCTGCTTTTGGACCTAGCCCTTGGTTTTGGCTTTTCCCAAGGCTTTTTCAGCTGGACAGTACCGCCACCTTCTGCTCTGCTTTTTCTAGCCTTCTCTCGACCTGGGCGTGATTCAGGTTTGCCTTTTGGCATTTGCTTTGGTTTGGCCTCAGGTGTTGAACTTGATATCTTATTTAGCGTTGAAAATGGATTAATTTCATCTTTTGAGGGACTCTGGTCCCAACAAGAGTCGATTTCTTCACCATTGCTGCAGGTATTTAAGCCATCATCCACAGGAGCAATGGGTTCTGGTTCAGGAATCATAGAATTATTCATAAAGGACTCTTCTTTGCAAACAGCCAAACTGGAAGCACGACGCCTCAGAGAGACATTTTTAAATTTTACTTCATTTGCAGTCTCCGTGTCAGAGAATTCATCATCTGTTCTTGGCTGAATTGAGCTAGATTTCTTTCCTGAGAATGACAGAAATGTAAACAAACCATATTCTTAAAATGGTGATCCCAACAGTGTAAACTGGAATATAAAAAAAATAAAGGACAAGACAAAAATTAAACATCTAGCTTCAGAGATTCCGTTCGTTTACCGTTTCAATTATAATTCACATGACACATGATCTCAATAGATAACCCAGATCAGATTTTAAAATGGAAGTACAGACAAGTCAGGTTCTTCACTGCCAATAGTTGCCTTTAATGGAGAGAAAGTTTGCTCATCCATTAGATTGCGCTCCTCTACTGGGTTACAATACTGCCAACATCATTTAACCCACTTCCTTTGAGCACCAGCTGTCATGGACACATCCCTGAGACGTATCATGCCAAGACTGAGCTCACCGTAATTCTGAATTGAATGGTGCTCACGCATTACTCAATCAGTGCCGGAGTAAGGACTACCCACCACAGAACAAGAGAAGAACCTGTGATGTCATTTGACCAACCAGAAGACTGCCGGATTAAAAGTCATGTCTACTTTTGATTGTCAAAATATAGGTGTGGGGGAGAATTGTAGTTGGTTAAAGAAACAGAGAAATTAACATTGACCCTATGCTCCAAGATTGAGAGGGACAGCTAAGACGCTCTATGGCTCAGACCAGCCAAAGTGATATTTAACAGAACACAATGCCCAGAAACTAAACATCTCGCAGCAGTAGCAAGTCAAGCTACATCTCAGGCCAGCACTTTAGTCTTTAAGAAACCTGAGAAATTATGCAGGCTGCTATTGCCGACAGCGATTCTTAAAAATGCCAGTGCCCTGGCTGTTATGCTGATTTAAAAAGGTGTAAATACTTGGAGTCACTGACCTAGAACAAGTAGGAGGATCAGGAATTCTGACTTAATTAGCGGCATACTTGTTCCAGATCAGCGATTTATAAATGGAGGCCAGATACAACCAGACAAGGATCATTTACAGGAAGTCAGCAATTGCAGCCTCCTTATTTCTCTCAGTCCAGGTTTCCTGTAAACTTGATAAAGAATGCAGGCTATAGTATGATTGTAGAAAGCACATTTATCCATAAGGTGGGCTGCTGATTAAGATATCTTTATACAAGAAAGCGGGGGGAGTCTTCTACTTCCCCAAACCACTGAGCAGAACTGTCAAGATTTTACCTGCAGCACGGACAGAGATGTAAACCGATACAATGGCCTTTATCTGGATACAATAGCACCTGTAACTGCCATTATATTCAAACAGACAAACTTATGTTAAGCTGCGTAGTGAGTCAGTAATGCAAGACCACTGGGTCAGTTTTGGCCATTTAGAATATAAACTGCCAAAGATTGCTAAAACATGATCAGCCATGAAATATTTAGTTATAAAAACTGTCCGCAGATTCTCTATTAGGACGTACCCACCGGTCAGTAAGAAGATATTAGCTGCTTGTAATTAGACACATTTGTTAAAACTTCAGGTTGACACATTTTCTTCCCTCGTCTCTTTGCTGGTTTAAAATTTGGCAAAGTGAAAGTAATAAAACTAGATTCTATTATTATTTAGCTGCTGTTACCACTCTGACCTCTAGATGATCTCTTTACTGCAGGCCCATGATCAGAGTTCTCTGAAGCTACGTCTTTGGGATTTCTTGCCTCGGCTTTTGTGCAGCTATCCAATGCACGGCTAACATTTCTTCCAGCATCTGAAGCAGAAACATGCGACTTTGCCCTGATAGGTAAAACAGAGAAGATAGGATTACAATTCTGAATATAAAAATCAAGCCTTTTGTAGGAACATAAAGACAAAAAAAAATCAAAGTACACAGGTTAATATGTGAACAAGTAACAATTTTATAGAACCTTGTAAAAGTTGAAACTTATTTTGATTTTGCAGACAATTGAAACACCAGAGTGTGATATGTACATGGGTAAAAGAAGAAAAGAAAAAAGCAAACTAC